AATAATATGAAATGGTTAAATAGAAAATACCACCAAGTTAATATGTTTATTAATGAATTGATAATTATACTAATATAAAGCATATTAATTATATCAATATCACATACGGATTTCAAATTAGTGCACTATTACAATTTTTAATAAAAAAATTAATAAATTTAATTAGAATTTATTAAAGTTTATATCTAAAAACATGATACTGGATAGAGTTGTTTGTATTGATTTGTGCTTTAATTTTTTTAATTAGAATCTTTGTGTTGTTGTAAGATAAAACAATTATAACCAAGAGAGGGTAAATTAGTTGTTTTACTAATATTAACAAATAATCCAATTAAAACTAGGAAACTAATATAAATATAATAATCAACAACATAATTAAAGTGCTTAAAATAACTAGATAAGCTTACGTCCACACCTCAAGTATCAAACCTATCTTCAATGTTATTTTCCTCTACCTGTTCAAGTTCAAGGGTATAGTAGTCACTGACACAACTAAAAGATTGATGTCTTCTCCCAAGTATAGGAGTGTCGAAGTAATAAATAACCCAGCAAGACTGGGGTCGAACCATTTAGAGGTTAATTGTAGAAATTATAAATAACAATAACAACAACAATAATAACAATAGTAGTAGTAATAGTAGTAGTAGTAGTAATAATAATAATAATAAAGAAAAGAAAGAAGAAGAAGAAGAAGATGAAAACTTTGAGATGGAATATTAATGTAAGGATTAAACGATAATAATAATAAATGTCAAGGTTAGAGGTTCCACTAATGATATGTCAAAAAAATATAGTATAAACTCTTATTACTCAATTGAAAACCACACACAAAGAAGGTTCCAATCATATTATAGATTGTTAACATGATTACATTAGTAATCTTATTCAATTAATGCTAATACTTGTAAATTTCATCAAGTATTCATGATTATAACTTATGTTAACAACAAATCAAGTTCCTCTCATAGCTCAGGTGTCGGTTATACCATACAGTATGAGCTATGAAAGTGTCAAGCATTTGTTGTACCAAGTGTTATATAACATAAATCAAGATTAGTCATTTAACAAGCAAAGTATTAAAGAGTGAACAAGATAACAAATATAAAACATGTTAGTATCAAACATTAAAGTCCATATTAAGTTTACACTATACTTATTCTTACACCATTAGTGTAACCTTTTCACCTTGACATAATAAACTTAGCTAAACATAATAAAAGAGAGAAAAATGAATAAACAAAATAAGAACATAAATAAGATAAGAGTTAACTAAGTAAAGGAAAGGAAATGAAAGACATAAACTTGATATTAATGAAAGCAAAGCATAAACATTACAAAAAATACAAAGAAAGAAAGCAAAAGCATGATCTTGATCTGGAAACCAAGATGCCTAAATGCATGGCAAATGCCTCCTTTTATAGGCCAAAATTAGGAACTATTGATTTGATGACTAATTGATGAGTGGGTGGCCAACTTTTGACTTGGTGACAATCCTTATCTTCTCTTGTCTGCCCAAACGTCATTGATAACGTCAAAATTGAAACCACTTGAAAACATAAAAGTTATAGGAAATTGTCTTAGATTTCTTATATAAACAATTCAGCTCATTTCGAGTTTTAAAACTCCAGATATGGCCAAAATACTGAACAGTGCTCGGGCTGGAGGATAGATTCGGGCTTCTTTGTTGTTGCTATAATTTGGACTTGAAAATGGTCTTTTTAGATCTTGGGCTCCATATGAAAGTTGTAGGCCTATGTCATACCTTTCTATTCATGACCTAAATCTGAAATCTATAGCTCTAGATATGATCCAATTACTGAGCAGTATACTGGTTTGAACTGCACCGACATCTCTTTTCTAAGTGTGACCATCTCTTTGTCCTTTCAATTTCAATTCTTAAAGTCATCAATCAATCCTTTCATTTATGTCATAGGCCTGCATTTAAAATGAACATTTACTATAAATTAAAGGTATCTTATATTATTAGATATATTATTATAAAACATGCTTTAGTTAAGGAGTTATTGATACTTCAAGTGCAAAATGATGATATAAAACCATGATAAAAATACACTTTTAAGTATCAATCAGTCACTTAATGAATCCACACCAATATCGTTTTCCCTTGAAGATATATTATTTTCAAAATTTCTTCTTGGTGAAATTATTTCACCAATACCAAGAATTTATACACAAAGGTTTACAATTGTGATTTTGTTATCACAATTAATTCTTTTAATAGAGTGGATAATATAATTCAAAGTTATAATATCTCTATATCTTAAAAGATAGAATTTAAAGGATCTAAAAGTGTTAAGTGTAGTGAGAATGATATTAAATATTCTTGTACTAGAACATGAAGGTTTAATAGCATTAATTAGATTATAATTAAGAATTGATGATTTCAATGTATTTTTGCACCAGAATAATTTGTATATCATATAGGTTCTAATTCTTTTATTAAATTTGCAATTAGAGAAGCTATTTATATGTTTCTAGCAAAAACTAGCAATTTATAATCATTATAGTTACAATGACAACTAAAACAGTCGACCGATTCCTACGAAATTCGCATATATTGAAATGAAAAAATAGTCAACCTATTCATTAATTTGATTAAGCTAAATGTTCAACCGATTCATATAAAATCCTAAATTTATCAATTTTAACATAGGTAAATTGTTAGAACCATTTATGTATTTTTATTAATCCTTTTAAATATGTACATAATAAAATATATGTATTCATTTTATTTTATGCTATCAACATGAGATATACATATTTATAAAAAAGTATTAAAATGAAAACTTAATTCTAAGTCTTCAATATTAGGCTTGTTGATAAGATCATGTTTTTTTATGAAATCCTTTGTGCTTGTTGATACGATCACTTAATTCTCATATGTTTTAAATGTATAGGTAGTAAAATATATGCATTCATTTTATTTTATGCTATTAGCATGAAATATACATATTTATATAAAAATACTAAAACAAATATTTAATTCTAAGTCTTCAATATGCTTCCTTCTTAGACTTTTTGATTTTTTCATAAAATCCTTCATGCTTGTTGATAAGATATGTTTTTTTATGAAATCCTTCATGCTTGTTGATAAGATCAATTAATTCTCATCTATTTTCTCTTATTTTTTGTTCTTACTTGGCTTGAAGATCATGTTTTATCTCTTATTTCTTAAGGTTCTAACATAACTTTATTTATAATATCTAAAATATTAACCATATCAATTTTGAAAACCTTTTTTTATTTTATCATATTTCATACAAATGGGTTTTTTTTAATGAAAATTTATGTATTTGTTAGTTATTTTTTTATATATATAACAAAGGGTTAGGGTTGCAAGAAATTGTGGAAATAACTAAGTTACTCATGTTCAACATAAAAGGATGAATAGGGTATTGATCTTTGGACAAAAAATGATTCCTTTTACTTTATTGGTTCCAATTATAATCTTGTTTTGGATATATAGTTGTTGGCTTTGTCCTAATACTTTTTAGAACAATAACATGGTAGTTTTAGAACAATAACTAAGTTTTTGTCTTCTCTTATTTTTTCTACTTTTTTTATTTATTTTGATAGTCTTTAATCCATTTCATTTGAAATATTTTAATATTACTTTGGTGTTAACTTGAATTTTATTTTAATATTGCTTCGGTGTTAACTTAAATTTTAGTCTATTTGATGAAATGCATATGAGAAGGTTGATTGCTATAATAATGATATACTAATATAAGAGTTTCTAGATCATGTCACTTAAATAATTTTTCAATGTAGAAATGTCATTTTGTTTTTAGGTTTTGAAATTTTAAAAGTTTATAATTTTAATTTGTTAAAGCTATTATTTTATTGTGTTATATTGAGATTTTCCTTTCTATTTTCCTTTCCTTATTCATCTCAAGGAAGCAAAAATAAAAATTAAATATTAAGTTGACTAAACTATAAACTATAAGTGGCTTATAATAATTCATGAAATATCATAACATGGTAATAGAATATCATATCGTCGGTAAATTATAGTTTATAGTATGATCATGGTAATTTATTAAAAAATAAATTATATTTTAATTTTGAATATTGATGAAAAAAATTAATTATTATATTTATTATTTGTCAGTAAAAACAAATTATTTGTACATGGGACTGAAAGATGGACTGGTATTTAATAAGTAATTAGAATATGAGTTAAGAAAAGAGAAACATCAACATAAGAGCTTCATTGCACGTAGAATTAAGCCAACCAAACCAGTCAAAATATGGGCCTGGCCTAAAAAAACAAAAAAACAAAATGATTTACTTTACATCTCTGAGGAGAAAAAGGCAATTACGAAATTGAATGATGATGGAAATATCTACCTGGGAACCCATTTTACCTCTCGTTCTCATTCATCATAGGAACATCCGACCATGCTTGTTTGGATTGTAATTATGGTTTTTTTTTTTAAATATTTTTTATTTTTAAAAATTATTTTTAATATGAGTGGATTATGAAAAACAAATTTAAAATAAAAAAAATAAAAAATTTTTTTTTTTTTAAAGGATTAAAAATAAATAGGAATGTGGAGTACAGCGATGAATGGAGGCCAGCAAATCAAGCCATTTGCATTCAATTTCTTCAACGAGTCGCCAGCATTAGTCAACAACCATTTGTCACAAAATTCTGAAGGTTTATCACCATAACAGTAATATCATCCATATTGCCTCTGCCGAAAGACATATCTACAAGCTTTTTGCAAGACTCTACTGAATTGTTGTTGTCTTTTAAAATCACATCTACTGCCTCTTGCTCATTTACCTGCAAAATCCCGACAAAATATAATTGATCATGCCCTGAACTTGTTTTTTCTTTCTCGGGGGGTGGGAGGGGTGCAAAATACCTACGTAAATATGTATAGAAACATACCTTATCCCATAGGCCATCAGATGCCATTATCAGGAACTGGCAATCTGAAGTTAATGGAACCCTTTTGATCTCAGGTTCAGAAATTATCCATTCTTTCAGATGCTGGTCTCCAATTGCTCTAGAAACGGCAAGGGACCCATGAACTCTCCAAATTCCATTGCGGCAATGTAGAAAACCACCCTGCAATTAATTGGTGAACTAGCTAGGTTAGCATTTAGCTTTTATTTTGATGTATCATAATAGTTAGCAGTGAGTATCAATTCACTGACAGAATTCTCAATGCGAAGGCGCTCATCTTCTCTGCTAACTCTATGATCAATTGTGAGTACATCAGCAATCCCATTCCTTCTTAAAATTACCCTACAGTCACCTACGTTTGCAACATGTAATTCTCCGTCTTTCAACAGCACACTAGCTGCACAAGCTCCACTGCTAAGACCCTGCAGGTGTCAAAATTCAATTAAAATGTATGATTAAGCATATTTAACTGCAATCCGAATGGGACCCTATCTAGCTTCATTCATTCTTTTTATTTTTTGCGAGATATATAAAGTTTCAGAGCGTTTTTAAATTGCCAGGTTGGACATGCCATCAAAGACTGGTCTAATGTGTTCTAAGAAACGAAACTATTCACTTCTTTTTCAGTAAAAATATACAATTATGAGGTAGCTGGCCGCGTATATTTAATGGCGTTGTTATGAAATGGTTTGTTGCAGAAATATTTTATTAATTTTTAATTATAGATATCTTATTAACAAAAGGGATCAATTAAAATGAATTATAGACTTCAAATCTCGAGAACATGTCAAAGTATACCTTGAGGTCAACAAATTACGTACCAAACTTCCATGGATATATTTTTCAATAAACATGCAGGTCATATATGCTTTCTTCTTTCTTTTTTTCTCCCATGTAAATGGCAGTACCGGGAATTGAGTTGCAACTCTCTTGGTCTTATTTTCAAGTCCTCTAATCAAACACTAGATTAATCTAGTTCCAGATGAAAAAATAAAATAAAAAAAATAAAGTAATATTGATGGTGAATTAATTGGCTCATTAAATAATTAACAAATCTAACAATATATTCGTAATATATATATATATGTACTGGCTGCCTTTCCAAACTTGGTAGTACAATAAGACTAAGTCAAATCATCATAACGTCGTATTCAACATTCAAAGTTGAAAGTTTACCTGGCTAAGAAACTCCCTATCTGTAACCAAGTAGCCTCCTCGTATAGCCTCCTCTAATTGGCCATCTTCCTTGCAACCAACGTTTTGAAGACCTTTCACAATGTTCTTTCCTAAGTTTTCGGCAACGTAGTTAGCCGCGGCTCGGCCTCCATGTCCATCTATGACAGCAAAAAATGCCTAGTGACAGAATAGAAGAAGCAGGGATCAAAATCTTTTGAGCATTACAAGAAAGATCGACCAAAATTAAGCCCCCGGATAAACCAAAACATGGAGAATTGAGAGTAACAATGAAGGTTTAATTAGCACCAAAAGAAGAACACTAAAAACCCAATTAGGAACTAATCCAATCCTTAATTATAACGAAGCAGTTCAAACAGAAGTACCACCAAGTTTATGTTAAAGTTACAATTTAATGATTTTTTTATGAAATATGGAATACCTAATACCCAGCAGAGGGTGGGTGGTTAGATCACCTACCTGCTTTGCATCTCCCAAAATATCAATCATGATGCCATACCCATCTTCCATGACCTCTCTCCTTCCTTTCTTGCTTGCCAAATAGAAATCTCTCCCTTGAACCTCGAACTCTTTATTTTCCAACTTCCTGTCTACTCGAGAAAATTCCACTATCGGAGAATATTCTGGCACAACCAGCCTCCCAGGCCTCTTCTTCAGCTTGGTAGCACCCTTACTACGATCTCCTTCACTAATCTTTACTATTCTCAAGGAATCCAGTCCTACTTTCCTTATCAAAGCATCAGAATTCTTTTGTGAACTCTTATCGTGCAAACCCTTCTGATATGCTTCACAGGCCATGCTTTCCTGCATGATTCCCTCTTCAAAATGCAAAGCTTTACTTTTCATGTCAGCACTTTGACTCTCTTGTGAAACGTTACTTTCTTGATCATGCACCAGAACTATTGTTTCTGAATCGTCTTTAATTAAAGGGACCTTTCATTTTTTCAAGAAAAAACTGGCTAACCCATTTGAGAGGAGGAGAAGGAAGAGAAGAAGATTGAGGGGATGTAAGGCTTAACGAGGCCATAGAAATGACCTTTCTTAGTCTTCGAAGAAAGTAGAGAGCAAGAGAAATAATAGAGAAACCCCATAGAAAATCCTCTAGATCTTTCATTCTTTTGACAAGAATTTTGTGTGCGCTAGCTTACTTTTTGTCATCAAATATGGCGTGAGATTTGTTGAAACAAAGGAGGTGTGGCTCATGCAAAAGAAAACACTACATATTTATGGCTAAAAGGTCTTTGATAGAACCCAGAATATGTAGCATGGGAAGAAAGGAACACTCAATACTTGGTAATAATTAACGGGTCAAAGGTGAATGGCTCACGGATGGATCAGTTGCATTGTATTTAACGATTCTCTCCCGTGCATGTGCTCCAGAACTAGTATTTGTAGAGAAAGGGCCAAAGGAGGTAGCAAATTCATTTGTTACCTTTGACACTTTCAAAGCCAAGGAAGTGGTCACACATATAATGTTGAGCGCTGGAATATTATTACCTTTTTAGTTTTTGCTTCTTCCCTTTTTCAACGGTTACTCAAATGGGAAATCTATAACTGTTTTGACTTGGTTAAAAAATTGTTTTGGGAGGTTTGAGTTGGTCAGCCTGCTCGATTCTCTCTCCATTATTGTAGCTCTGCACACTAATCAATTGGCATTTGCTAAGCACACCTCTTATGCTATCTCAACGTGGATTTCTTTATTTATGGAAAGGTTCAAATTGAAACCATATTGCTTTAGAAAATTAGAAAGGCGGGCTTGGTGCTAGCCAAGATTAGGTAGCTATTAATTCTCTGCATGACTGACAACAGCAGCAACTTTAGTATCAATGACAAATTAAAGATGTTAAGTTTCCCACCAAACATGGAGGAAGTCTCAATTGATGTACCCTTTGATCACTAGCTAGTTGACCAATGCTAAACTTTTGATCTGTACTCCAGGAATTATCAGTAAAATCAGCTAGCATTAGTTAGACGGCATGATCTGTCTGTAATAGAAAAAAAAAACAGAAAAAAAACAAAAAGCCACAGCGGAAATTACTATGTCAAACACTTGTGGTTGAGGAGACAACGGGCGACGCTGAATTTAATGGAGAAACCTTTTTTTAGACAATTATGTATGATTTGAATGACAGCATATAACCTTCTTTTTTTCTGATAACAGTTTTCATACAAAGAATTTCGAATTCTTGTGGCTTGTTCAAAGTTTCATGAGAACATGACTATTAAATTTAGGAAAGATTCAGGAACTAGAAATAGTAATCAACTAATCATATCCTAAACCATGAAACATGATATTTCGAAAGAGTAATAAATAGTTTTTCGTTAAAAAGTATAGAATTGAAAGGAACTCGTCTCCATTAGCTTGTAGTATAAAAAATAAAAGAAAACAAAGAGTAGTGACCCAAAACAAAAGTGTGGCCTATGAAGTTTCAGCAAGCTATCGCTTAACACAAATCTTTTAACTTTGGTCTAGTGATTGAATTGTCTGCTAATGTGGTTACGCCAAGGAGCAAGAATTACAGTAGCTGTCAGACAACAAGGGTGTTTTTTTTATCCCTTTCAGACGCTTCCCATTATTTCATGCTTTGGAAAGTATAACTACCTTAGCTTATTATTATTATTATTATTAAAATTATGTGCTGTTTTGGCTTTTAAATCACATGGCACTTTAGATTAAACTCATTTGCTTTTGATTTAAAATAAGGTACCTTTATTTTTAATTAAAAAGCAAAGCAATTTATTACAAGAATCATTGTTTTCTCAAGCAAAAAACAATTTTTTAAAATCACAAAATCCAATCACACTAATGCAATCAGGCTTAAGATAATAAATGATTATAAGAAATCAAGTATGGATCCACCATAACTAAAGAAGGATCTATCATAAATAGATTATGTGAAAAGCCTAATAAATGTATTTTTTTAATAGTGAGATAGGTCCTAATCTTAAAGGAGGCTTGATCATTCAGACTATAATGAAGGTTTAAAAGGGTCAAAACTCTAGATCCAATTGTTAAATCAAATTCAAATTTTTATAAGAATTTCTAGAGGCTAATTTTTCTTACAAGAGCCTCCATGGTGCTACACGAGTCGTCAAATCTTTAATTATTGAAAATCTTGCATAGGGCCCCTAGTTTGGGCTAATTTTGTTATTTTTTCTTATTTATTTTTGTATTTCATGCATTGTTTTGGATTATATTATTATTTACTTTGTATTTTACAAGAGATGGATAAAAGTAAAAGACAATGCGCCAAAGATATCATAAAATATAAAAAACAACTGCCTAATGAACGAAAATAGGAGAAGTAACAAATTGACTAACAACACGAACAATATATGCAATATCTAGACGAGTAATAGTGAGATATACCGAGTTCTTAATAATAATATGGTATAGAGTAGGATTTGATAAGAGTAAATCATCAGATGAAGAATACCTTGTGTTAACTATAGTGAGAGTATCTATAGTTTTATCATTAGTAAGTCTAGCCCGCTTAAGAATATTTATAATATATTTTGACTGAGAAAAAAGATAACTTTCTAGGTGAGTAGACTACCTTAATATCCGAGAAGTATCTTAGAGAACCCAAATATTTTATTTCAAACTCTCTAGCTAACCCTGTCTTCAAAACTAAAATACCATCAATATTATCACTAATAATTATCATGTCATCGACATATAAAGATAAAATAATACGACCTGTGACATGACGAAAAGATTAATGTCTTCTCCCAAGTGCAGGAGTGTTGAAGTAATAAACAACCCGGCAAGACCGGGGTCGAACCACAGGGAAGTTAATTGTATAAATTACAGATAACAATAATCTAATAACAACAATGACAACAATAACAACAACAACAACAACAACGACAACAACAACAACAATAATAATAGTAATAGTAATAGTAATAGTAATACTAATAATAATAATAATAAAGAAAAAGAAGGAGAAGAAGAAAAAGATGAGAACTTTGAGATGAAATATCAATGTAAGGATTAAACAATGATAATAACAAATGTCAAGGTTAGAGGTTCCACTAATGGTATGTCAAGCAAGTATAGTATAAACTCTTATTATTCAATTGGAAACTACACACAAAGGAGGTTCCAATCAGATTATAGATTGTTAACATGATTACATTAGTCATCTTTTTCGATTAATGCTAATACTTGTAAATGTTATCAAGCATTCATGATTATAACTTATGTTAACAACAAATCAAGTTCCTTTCATAACTCAGGTGTCGGTTATACCATACAGTATGAACTATGAAAGTGTCAAGCATTTGTTGTACCAAGTGTTATACAACATAAATCAAGATTAGTCATTTAACAAGCAAAATATTAAAGAGTAAACAAGATAACAAATACAAAATATGTTAGTATCAAACATTAAAGTCCATATGGAGTTTACAATATACTTATTCTTACACCATTAATGTAACCTTTCACCTTGACATAATAAACTTAACTAGACATAATGAAAGAAAGAAAAATAAATAAATAAAATAAAAACATAAATAAGATAAAAGTTAACTAAGTAAATGAAAGGAAATGAAAGGCATAAACTTGATATTAATGAAAGGAAAGCATAAATATAACAAAAAATACAAAGAGAGAAAGCAAGAGCATGATCTTGATATGGAAACCAAGATACCTAAATGCATGGCAAATGCCTCCTTTTATAGGCCAAAATTAGAAACTATTGATTTGATGACTAATTGATGAGTGGGTGACCAACTCTTGACTTGGTGAAAATCTTTATCTTCTCTTGTCTGCCCAAAACGTCATTGATAACGTCTAAATTGGAGCCACTTAAAAACATAAAAGTTGTAGTAAATTGTTTCAGCTTTCTTGTGTAAAAACTTCAGCTCATTTAGACTTCTAAAACTCCAGATACGGGCCAAAGACTGAACAGTGTTCGGGCTGGAAGACAGATTCAAACTTCTTTGTTGTTGCTACAATTTGGACTTAAAAATGACCTTTTTAGATCTTGGGCTCCATATGAAAGTTATAGGCATATGTCTTACCTTTCCATCCATATAAAATAGACCTAAATCTTAGATCTATAGCTCCAGATATGACCCAATTACCGAACAGTATTCCGGTTTGGATTGCACTGACATCTCTTTTCTAAGTTTGGCCATCTCTTTGTCCTTTTAATTGTAGTTCTTAAATTCATTAATCAATCCTTTTATTTATGTGATAGGCCTGCATTTAAAATGAACATTTACCATAAATTAAAGGTATCTTATATTATTAGATACGTTATTATAAAACATGTTTTAGTTAAGGAGTTATTGATACTTCAAGTGCAAAATGATGATATAAAACCTTCATAAAAATACACTTTTAAGTACTAATTAAACCCCCCCCAACCAGCTTATTACTAGTCTCTAGTAATCAAAGTGTTAAAATAGAAAAATAATTTGCAAATTCCACAAAGTAAGGTATTCATCATTCAACTTCCATTAATCTATCCAGATAAACAAACTCTCATTAAATTTATATATCTACTCAATACCTCTTAATAAGATATTAATAAACCTTTCTTTTGTGCTCAATATATCAACACATAATTATGGGACTTTTCTTGGAAAAAAATAAAATTTTTGTTCTAATGTTTAAAGTTAACTTTCTTGGGTTGGGATTATTATTTTTCTATCTTTCTTTTTTTATTTATTTTTTTAAACATACAACCCTGGTTGGAGAAATCACCCAAATTTTAGTTGGAAGAGTGAGAATAACAATGCACAAACTTCACAACCACCGTTTCAAGCACACCATAATTTCCAAAATTCTCATGGATATGCACCTCCTTATGCTCCACCTCCTACAAGAAATTTTAAGGAAACTTTGTATGCATTTATTGAAAAGCAAGAGACAATCAATACTCAACTTGCTCAAAGCATAACAGATTTTAAAGATACTCTTGCAAAATTCACATCTGCTCTTAGTTTTCAAAAGAAAGGTAAGTTTCCATCTCAACCACAGCAAAATCCCAAGGAGCAATACAATGTAAATGCAAGTAGTTCTGGAAGTCAACACATCGATCAAGTCAAATCAGTCATCACTCTTCGCAGTGGTAAGGTTATTAAGAAACCCATTCTTGAACCTTGTGAGAAAAATGATGAGTCAATCTCTAAGGGTAAGGAAGTGGTTGAATCTAAACATTACAAAGAAAAGACTGATTCCACTCCAGCACTTCCATTTTCTCATGCCATGACCAATTAGGAAGAAATCAAGGATGAAAAAGGCATAAAAAATGTTGATGCGAATCTTTTATCGAAAGTGACAACAGATTTGACACCCGACATCATACTAATCGATGATTACTTTCCTGATGAATCTCTACTTTCTCTTAGTTCAATGCCTTGGTTTGTTAAAAATATCTATTTTCTTACTTCATGATTTTTGCCAGCT